CACTGGCCCAGGACATGGGAAACGAGGACTATTTAAACACATGAGGGAGGGGAACCCCAGGTGAACACAATAGGTAATCAACACATGACAACACACCAGACATTCCCCCAGACGGGACACATTTGGCATGTTCACGATTTCATTTCTTCTTTTAAAAGAATTTAAATAATTTTAATGATGAACATGTTTGCCACTTCAAACACTCATGTAAAGTTCAGTTAATTCAGTAGTTCCTATAGTTATATTTTATTTAATTCACGACTACGTCTTTAAGATATTTAGTTGAATCTTCTTTTTCCTTAGGTTAGATTTGTCCTTATTTGGCCTTTTAACAAAATATGTAAAAAGAAAAAACAGAAATACATTTTTGATGTTAATAATTTATTACTATGCGATAAGTCAAGATTATTTGAAATGAGCGTCTGTGGAGCAGAAATAAGCGTTTTTGGGCTGTGGATCCTCCAGGCTTCCTCTGTTTACTCAGACATTTTGACATTATGCAGCTAAATGCATTTTGATTTGGTACAGCAGCTGTCAGGAGCAGTTCAGGCTCCTATTGGCCGAGAAACGCTGACTGACACCCCCCACCTATCAGCCGATGACATTCACCAAACTGAGTATCTTCTTCCTGCTCACTGGTCTCTGATATCTGGATATATGGAAACAGGGACCAGGGTCAGGGGTCAGGATTCATTTCACTCTGACCTTTACATCTGGGAGAAGTAATCAGGGACGGCCATCAGCCCAGAACGACTGTTTTTAACCCTGTAATGCCAAACGTATCATATCTGATTCATACGGTTTCTGAAATGTTTTGCGTCTGACTCCTTTTACTTAATTTAATGGTAAAAACTTTGCTCAAAATCCCGTCAGGAAGGTGGATCTTGATGGAGGACTCAGGCGCGGAGATGCAGAAAAGAGGGTTTATTGTAACAAAAAACAGGTTAAAAAACAGGGCTGTGGCAAAACTATGAGCAAAGTAACAAAGCAAGGTTAACAAAACTGTGGCAAAGTATCAAAACAAGACTGTGGCAAAAGTACAAAC